CATGTCACTGTGCAACTGGCTTCTAACAATAACTCTCAGCATGTAACCGGGCCCTGTGTGTACTCATACATCAGACAGTTGAAATGGCTCCGTTACAGCTTCTGCCAACCAGATAGCTGGGATGTCTGTGGTGTGAGATGAGCGATGGAAGCACTGGGATTCCTTTGTGGATGCTCTCAGAGCAGCCTTTGGCGGAGCCATCTCTAGGGATGATGCTGTAGCCCAATGGAATACCCTTACCCACACAGCCAAGGGGGGAATAGACTCCTCCCCCAATAGCATTATTCATTTGAAGGAAGACTGGCTATGAGGGTCAGTTAGTGAATGATAAGATCCTCAGTTCCCTCCCTCCGAACCTAGGCATGAGCTGTGCCCTCTTTACCCCCGTTGCACCTCTGGGCTTCCTGCAGCCTGGGTTTGCCAAGGGGTTATCCGCAGAATCCCACAGAGGCACTGAAACCGAGATAAGCTCGATGGGAGGCCAACTTCGTGGAGTTTGACTTCAAAGTTGTATACCGCCCTGGAAAACTAAAAACGCCAAGCAGACATCTTGTTGCGGCGTTGGGACCACGCCCTTTAAAGAGGGCGGTAAGGCTCATCAAGACCCTGAAATTCGCTTGTTTAAGCCAGGACAACTTATAATGGGTTCTGTCCAATACCCGATCGTTATGATCAGCTCAGCATGGGCAAGAGCAGCCCAAGTCTGCAAAACTCATACCGGTGCTCCTGGATGAAATCGGGGCTCGAGCAGCCTTAGATCCAGGGTACCTTTCCTTGAGAAAAGCCATTGAGAACACCTCTGGGAATCTGGTGAACCAAGACCTCACTTTAAAGGACGGAGACGTCTTCTATAAGGAAAAGTGGTACATTCCAAATTATCGAGAACTGGAGCTCACGATCCTGAGCGCTCTACATGATTCGAAGACTGCTGGTCACTTTGGACAATTCAAAACGGCAGAACACCTTCAGGCACTCTCCTTCGGCTAAAGATGGACAACAATGTGGAAGAATACGTTCGGAGTTGCGATACATGTCAACGCGTTAAGGCCTCAACACACAAGAAGTATGGGACGTTGCAACCTTTAGAGGTCCCCTCTATGCCTTTGGAGCTCCATCGAAATGGACTTTATCGTGAGCCTGCCTGAATCTGAGGTCTATACCCGTATCTGGGTTATCGTTGACCGTTTCATCAAAATGTCCCACTTCATTCCGCTCAAGACCAAAGCAACCATCCAAGAGCATGCTCAAATCTTCCTACGGGAGAGATGGCGACGGTATGGATTTTCTGAGGAGATTATCTCCGATCGGGACTCTAGATTTGAAACAGATCGTCCTCAAACTGACGGACAAACTGAGAAGAGTCAACCGAACGCTAGAACAATATCTCAGAAACTATTGCTTCTATCAGCAGGACGATTGGGCAAGATTACTCCCGCTTGCCGAGTGAGCCTACAACATGGCCACCCAAGAGTCAACCAAAGTATCGCCGTCCTACGCGAACTAGGGGTTTCAACCAGATTCCACTTGGCCCTCACTTAAACGGAAACTAGAAAACTTCGACGCCTCCAGCGCGGCGCAAGAACAGCGGAAGAAATGGTATGATCAGAAACATGAGTGCTCCAGAACTGAAGGTCAGGAACGAGGTGATGCTGGACCGACGCAATATTTTAACCAAGCGATCATCAAATAAGCTAGATCACCATAAAATCGGGTCCCTTTGAAGTTGTCGGGAAACTTGGCGTCACGTCCTACAGGCTGAATCTACCCTCTCAGTGGAACATTCATGATGTCTTCCATATATCTCTGCTGGAACCGTATTGGGAGTCAAAGGACCCTCAACGAGCTATAGTGCTTCCACCTCCGGATGAGGTTCAAGGCTGATCGTGGGGGAGAAGTTCGTGCAATATTGGATTACCTGGGAGAGCTATCTCAGAAGACTTCAGGGAACCGTACAAAATGTTGCAAGGAACGGCAGACGAGACGCTCCGAGAGTTCCATCCGAAGTATCCCGGAAAATCACTGAACTCATGGGTGAAACTTTAGAAATCCTCAAAATACGGCTATTTTTTCCCATCGGTCTGACAGTGTTCGGATGCCGTTGTTTCCCTGGGAAGCAATACAGGAAAGTGAAGGAAACCGAGGCAACGGAGTGTTCTGCGACAAGGGTGGAGAAAATGGATCTCCCTTTGTTGGGATACACGTTTTCACTTGAGGTTTCCTTTGTTAATAGAAATGGATGCGGAAAAATAGAGTGTAACGGAGCCATTTCAACTGTCTGGTGTATTTGTACACACAGGGCCCGGTTACATGCTGAGGGTTATTGATAGAAGCCAGTTGCACAGTGACATGCAAGTACCGGCAGTGTGGTTAGCTACCAGCTGTCAGAGTAACTACATTCTGAGCGCTAGGAAGAGGATCTATTCTTGGGAGCAATGACTGACGAGTCTATGCCTCGCCAATGATTAGAAGGCCAACCAGAGTGAAGCTCTGAGTGCTCGGCGATCCTCTACATCCTCCGAGCATGATAAGTCCGCCCGTAGTGGCAGGGACTATGCCTGGGAAAGTCTACAATAAATGAAGAGCTCTACAGCAATCGTTAAGCTTACGCCTGAGCGGTAGCTCATTTGTGCAGGCCCCAGTTGTGTGGCAACGAAGGCTGCAGGTGTTACAAAGGCTTTGACTAAGGGTGGTTGCCTTTAGAACCGGAAGCACTCGCTGACGCTTGGAGAGAAGCGGGGTAGCGATGGTATTGCTTCCCTTCCGCTAGCAGGCAGTACCGGAACTTAGTAAGGAAGTAGGAGCAGAGAATAGAGTCCTTTGGAGTATAAGTACTCAGGATCATTCCCGCCCAACTGTCCGGATCCTCATCTAGAATTATCAGAATCATCTCCTATTATCGGTAGCAGAGCCCTTAAAGATTATTTAGTTCTAGTGATAGTATCTTTGAATAAATCTGCACCTGATTTCTATCTTGCACGGCCGCATCTATTCTATTGGATTCCAGCGATACATAGAAAAGGCTGCCCCCGTTACAGTAGGAGCAGGGAACCGAATCCTTTGCAGTATAAGTACTTAGGATTCTTCCCCCCCAACTATCCGCATTCTCTCCAGTCTTTATCAGAGCTATTAAGTATTTTCTACTCGGTAGCAGAGCCTTAAAGATTATTGAGTTCTTAGCGATAAATCTTTGAATAATCTAAACCTGATTTCTATCTTGCACGGCCAAATCTTTCTATCGGATTCTAGCGATACATGGAAAGACTGTCCCCATTACACTCCTAGGTCATCCCTCTGGGCATAGCTCTGGAGCTGTGCTTGGACTGAGGACATCTGTTCCTGCATGTAACTGTAGGCATTCCTGAGCAGGACTCAGTATCGCTTAAAGAAAAACAAAAATTAATATAATTATAACTATATTGCTCTAAAAAAAGAAAATCAATTCAATCATGATTATATTGTCACAACAAAAGCAAAAATCAATACTATTATATTCAAGTTCTACCGAGAAAATCAAAAATCAATATCATGACATCATCTCAAGAAAAGCAAAAATCAATATATCAATTAAAAAAAAATCAATGTGTTAGCAACTCAAACTTGAAAAAAGCAATCTTAATTACCAACTTCTCAAACCTAGCCAATCAAAACCTTTAAATAACACATTGCATATCGGTATATCTCTGTACTTATAACATATCTCTCCCGGCAGTACTTCTCACAGTTCTCCCCGGTATGTTAAATTAGCGAATACGCACAATCGATAGAGAACATTCCTAATATGCAAATTAACAACAAACGGCATGTGTTAGTATTTTTGGGGCCCTGTGTAGCACCTTCTTAGCCCTCTGTCCTTTTTCGGGGTCGGTTTACCATGTATTACCGATTAGCTGAGTGTCATAAGCCTAACGGATACCACACTACAGGCTGCATATATATACCAATTATAATTATGAAGAAATCATTCAATCAACAGGATATTTAGCTAGCTAATGTATTACATAGTGTTTGAAAACTTCCAGATACTATCACTCTTTTAAATATCTACTTGTAGATCGGGAGATAGACTATGTAGGTATCTGGCTACAAGTACGTTTTAATTTGTATATAAAATGTAGATACATCCATTTGCATCGGCCCGTGCTCAATATTTCCATGATGTCTAACTACATGTAGTGCTAAAGCTTCTCCTCTTATTGAACGATCTGATATTTGAACTAAACGTCGAAGCTCATTCCCATCCATTCTTGGCTCATTCCATCAACTTTATAAATAGGTCTCTTATCATATTTCATACCATGCCTCTTCTGAGCTCGAGCAGTACCAAAGACGTTGGATTTGCAAATATAGGGCGGCTTGATCGATCGAGATCCTAACGTCGGCTTCATTTATAGGATTCATTACTCTCGATATGCACATGAAGTACTTTGAGCAGAAGTACATTTGCTAATTCAATCTGTTATTACCTGCTTATATTGTACGGAACTGTGCATCAAATGTACATGTATGTAGATGTACGTATGTACCTACTTGTACTCTACGTTCCCGAATTTTCTAACCCCGGTGGCTAGATCTAGACTTCTTTAGATATTGGGCTTTCTGTGATCGTGTTCACTTTAGAGTAAGATGGGATGAAATATCCCGGCGGCCTAGTGCACGGGTCTGTCTGTGGTCCCTGCATCGTCGACAATCACCACCACGAGTAGGACGAATATGCAGAGTATGAACATGATAGAAGAGATTACTCACTGGGCTGAAATCGAATCCGGATATCGGGCTACCGTCCGCTTCCTTTGTCGATCACCAAACTCCTGAGGTCATCCGATCAACGGATGTTATTACCTACATACATGCAGTACCCTTCCTTAGGTAGAGTAAACTAAAGTACTCTACAGCTCTACCATAGTAAACCCCCCCCCCCCCCCACATACACACACACACACCCACTTCATCGAAACCACTTCTCTTATTTTCTCGTTTGCTCCTCCAGTCTGCTTCACTCGATGGCGAACCTTTCCCGCACATCCCTGCGTGACCTCGGATCTCTCCTGAAACCGTGTGCTATCTGCCCATCTCCCGAGCGCCAATAATCGAAGGCTAATCTGCGACACAGGAAGTTACTGAATAGATCAAAATGTTGGCCGCTGAATTTGAATGGAATTTTAGCTGTTATGCACTCCCGGCCGTATAGCAGTGTATCCCACCCCGCACAAACCCTAGTCCTTTCCGCTCCATGTATACTTGCAATTATATTTAACTCTATTCGAACAGGCGTCACTCCCGCCAGATGTATCTCCGGATATTAGAAAATCTTTAAAAGGACCTCTTGGCGTGGAAAATACAACTAATATTCCGCTAAAAACCTATAATGTCACGAAAGTCGATGCAAGACCAAAATTGTCAGAACATCATAAGATACTATTTGATGACAAAAAAATTTCTATCCCGTGGGAAGAGGGCAAGACATCACATTTGTATAATTTTCTACCTTTGATTCATTGGATATAATTAACTAGTGTCCCTAGCCAACATTTGTGGATCAGGGATCATTGTCAATGCCCGGAGTGTTTCCACCCTGACACAAAACAGCGACTGTTGAATACATTTTCCGTAAGTAATGCACTTTTAAAAAACTATTAGTATTTCTAACAAGCAGTAGATTCCAAATCATGTTAGACCAGAATCCGTTGAGGCAACTGAAACAGGCATGCAAATCTCATGTTAGTGATTCGGTTTACTTCTTAATGGACCAAAAGCTGTAGAATGATCTCTTATGTATATATCAGGGAAGAACGGGCATAAGAGTTTCTTTACGTGGGAATGGCTGCATCTACATTCTTACAACCCACGACTCGAAAGATATTTGTCGCCGCAGTATGTGTCAAAATCACCAATTTCTGAAGTAGGGAATCATTATACTAACCAAGGGACCAAGATTCAAACTTTGGGGATCCGAAATTACGGAGTGTCCGCCTGAAGTGGAATATGAATCGGTAATGGAGACGGAGAAAGGGGTTGCGGAATGGACAAGAAAGATAGTGGGTTGCCCTGTATCAAGAGGTGTCGGGTATCAAAGTTCAATCTAACCAGAAATTCCCAGTACATCTACGGCTTCTGCTATATAAACGGGGTTCCGGTCAACCCTGATGCTACGAAGGCACTCATCGAACGAATAGCCCATATCCAGCATACCCACTACGGTATCTTTCTCCAATATTCCTTTTTTCTATGCCTTTTTTAAACCGCCGGCTAACGAATAACACTCCCTTCAGGAGGCTTCTGGTCCTTCACATCAGATCTTGCTTCGAAAGATACAGCTTACACCAGCCTCCCTCTCTCTGCACATACAGACACAACCTACTTCAGCTCTCCTGCTGGTCTTCAACTCTTCCATCTCCTCTCTCACACCGGTGGTACTGGCGGTCAAACATTACTAGTTGATGGTTTCCGTGCGGCGAAGCTCCTCCGTGATGAAGACCCTACTTCGTATAGAATTCTGTCGAATACACGAATACCAGCGCATTCCTCTGGGAATAATGGAATCTCGATACAGCCTTACGCGCCTTTCCCGGTGTTGAATCACCACCCAGTCAATGGCGAGCTATTCCAAGTGAGGTGGAATAATGATGATAGAGCAACGATGGATCGATGGAATGACCCTGATGAGGTTGAGGCATTTTATGACGCAATTAGAAGTTGGAATGAGGTGCTCAAGCGCAGAGAGAGCGAGTATTGGGAGCAGTTGGTGCCAGGAAAGGCGTTGATATTTGATAACTGGAGAGTTCTTCACGGAAGGGCAGCATTTGATGGGTCGAGGACGATGTGCGGGGCCTATGTTAGTAGAGATGATTTTATGAGTAGGTTTATGATGACAAACTCGAAGAGGGAGGATGTTTTAAGAGCACTTTGATTTTATAGGTTAACCTTTTACCTCCTCTTTTTCCCGAGGCCTTAAACAATTGTAAATACATATATGTATGATTCCTAAATATTGCTAAGGCACGTATGAGGCGATTCAACCCTAAAGAAGTGCATATGTTGGTCATCGCGATCAGCTAACACAATCTAAGATAAGTGAAGCTAGGACCGCACCACAGCATAATTTAGCTTTATTCCGCTAACCTTTCAAATTGTTTATAGATACATGTATTGTTTCTTTTCTTGGTAAAGCCTGGCCATCCTCGGTCATTGTTGTGAAGTCAAAAAAAAGGAGAGAGAAAAAAAAAAGGAAACCCGTTCAGACAAACCAAAAAAGGCTCTAAGATATTCAGAACGCCTAACAAAAGCAACAATAGAAGGGCACAACTCTGGAAGAAGGGCAAATACATCCTGCCTGCAGAACCCTGCTACGACACGAATGCCATAGTCCCATAGGGTCTAAATCGGTTTAATCTATCCACCAACAAACATTATTATTCATTCTCTTACAGCCACTGCTATCAAAACTGCACCAAGAAGCTTCGGTTAATCCAATCAACACAAAGGAGCAACAATATCGCTATTATTACTCAGTCATTGTGTTTCATGGATAACCACTAGTTTACCTTTTCGATGGGGATTTGGGAAAATAGTCAACAAGCGGGAAGTGATTACCTTAAAGTGGAGAGCAATAAGTGAGAAAACAAGTGCTTTCAGGTCCTGTACGAGGTAGTAAAAGACACGAAGACCTTCAGGATCAGCAGACTCTTGAACGTCTACCAGTGAACCAATTTTGGCAGTCTTGAGTCGGGCGGATATCTATCAGCAACCAGGACTAGATATAAGGACTTCAAAAATCCACCAACCTCGAATGAGATGTGTTCATTTCCGAGACGAATCTCGAGTTCTTGACGACCATCCTTGTTCTTTGGGGGCCATTTCGCGTCGTCTTCTCTGTTGTTTTTAAGTTAAATTATAATCTGATGACTCCTTTGAACGCTCTATACGGAAATTTACTTCATAATTTCACTCTCTTTAATTATACGTTTGATCTCTTTGATCATGAGAGAGCTCACGCACACTAAAAACTCCATCCAGTCAATATTGGTTCAAAATGTGACCGCTTGGGGGGATCATTGGTAACAGACTTTCCTTGCGTATCAAAGAGTCATTACGATAATTCGAGTTGTTGGCATATCGAGCCGTAGCGCTGCGGCCATCCCCGAGCACACGGAAATCGAATTCTGGAATAATTTTAGTTGTTAGAAATTGTTAATCATAATTGGTGGTGTGTGGTAGGGGGAAATACCGAGAAATTCATGCCCGAACCTCCCGTTGTGCCCAGAGTAGTAACGCAAATAGAACTGCTCGTTGTTGGCAGCCATCGTGGGGTTTTGAAGATTGTAATAAACTGTGTGGGGTGGATAAATTGGAGGTCAACTGTTGTGTTGATAACTGAATCTTAGAATGTCGTCGAGGATTTTAGTGTAGAGCCCCTTGCACATGCCAAGGCCACATTGATGCCAAGAAGCTTAGAGCTTACCTCAAGGATGACAAGCTTAAGCTGCAAGGGAGCAAGGAATCGAAATTTTTGGAGACGAGTCTTATCCCACTCAGAAACTCTACTTGTTGGGGGAAAAACAAATATAGTCCAGGAGACAATACTTTGTTACACCCGTGACGTATTTACCCTGCAAAACGTGCGTGTCGTCAGGTCCACTCATTCTTTTCTTTTCTTTTCAGTTTGATCGTGAGCTGTCTGGGGCTCTGCCCGGAGAGGAGAGGGGGGTCACCACTGCAAACGCACCGTTTCAGAACCGGGGAACAATTTCGGACGATTGAAGGAATTACTAGGAACCGAACGATTATCTATTCGCACTCGTCTCGGTAACATGCCATGGATTAAAAGAAGAGCTTAACACTAGTAGATACATGTAATACCTGTAGGTACATGTAAGCACTGTAGGTGTTTTTAATCCCATTTACTGACCTGGCCATGCGCCTAGCAGGTTCTCTATTCTCGAGTAAAGAACCTACATACATACATACATGTATTTATTTACTCTACATATGTATGCACAATCCGCATATATCATGTAGGTCTGTATGGAGAAGAGGGAAATATTATTATCGTGCAGAGAACATCAGTATGTGCGTAAACTAGGAAACGGTCCACACTCTATCACGATCCACTGGTTTGTGGAGTTGCTACCGATCGGGATGACGATGGCCGGCATTAATAAGTCTCGACGGAACAACGGCGACAAAAGAGCCGCGAGCGGGAGCCAAAAGTCTGGGCGAAGTTCCACACACTTTCTACGTTGAACAAAGCATGGTTTGGGTCCAATGCAGGCGGGGTGGGGAGGTGAGCAAGTCACGCAGAGGTGATAGGAAGGTACATACTCGCAATACCTACTGCGATGCTCGAGAAGGTGCTCCTCGCTTCATCCGTCAAGGTAAGCATACAGAATTGGGCCAGGAGTGAAAGTTTCGGGCAGAGACAGTGAGTGTGTGAGAGACTTCTGGTGGGTTGAATCCATTCCCATACTGAACCGGGCCAGGAGGGTTCGCTTTATTTATTTCTATTCCTTTTTTTTCTTTTCCTTTCTTTCCTTCTTTCACGCTTTCTTTCTTTCCTTCCTTCCACTCATCCATCCATCCATCCATCATTATTCTTTCCATTGTTCTATCCATCACGCTCTAGTCGTTTTCCTCCCACCACTCTCACTCGAGGTAGTTGTCGTCGTCCACTTTGAACATTCCCAGTGGCAGTTACTACTACCGCTATTACAATTACCACTACTACTTTACCACCTACCACAGCAGCGAGGACAGATCATTATTGCGTACAACTTATACTTAGCTAGCTAGAGTAGTTCACACGCCATTTAAACATATTACAATTCTCGATCGTCCCATCTTTGCTGTAACCTGACCTTTTCCCTTCTTGCTGTTCTTGTTGTTCCTCTTCTTTGCCCTATTCCCACATATTATTCTTCCTCGAGCTTCTTCACTCATCAGTAAATACATTGATCGTTTACCCTCTCTTCCTCTCAATCATTATTTCCTCTCCAAGCACCCTCCTGCATAACTGTCGTCGCCACAACCACAATAATAGCCATTACCACCTTTTCTCCCCCCCTCCCCGCTTGTCCACAGAGCCACCCACCCCCACTATCGTCTCATACCTCCTTCTGACTTTTTTTCTTTCTTTCCTTTCTCTCTTTACGCTTGCATGACCATTAGCACTCCACCGCAACGATCTTCTCTCCCTCCACCCTCCTCCCCCTCACGCTCCAAATCCCTTTACACAGAAATGCCAGACTCGGAGAGCCAGTGGATATTCACTGAGGAGGAATTACTCCGTACTCCTTCGGTTCTCGACGGACTCTCGCCTGAAGCAGAGCGCGAACAACGTAGCAAGGGCTGTAATTTCATCGTGCAATTGGGAATTCAGCTCAGGTTACCACAAGTTACCCTCGCAACAGCCTCCATGTTCTTACACCGTTTCTACATGCAAAACTCGCTGAAGAAACACCACTATTATGTTGGTCCCTCTTTTTCTCATGCTCTGGGACAGGAAATGAGATTCGTAGGAAGACGGTTCTAACACTGCGACTTCAGGAAACTGCCGCAACTGCTCTTTTTGTCGCAACCAAGGTTGAAGAGAATATGCGCAAATTCGGCGAGCTTGTCGCAGCCTGTGTTCGCGCGGCACAGAAAAATCACACTATGCCGGTGCATCGCGATGACAAGGAGTTTTGGAAATGGAAAGATTGCATTCTCACAAAGGAGGATTACCTACTTGAATCAATTTGTTTTGATTTAGAGACTGAACCCCCGTACAGTATGCTTCTGCTGATCACCAAACGTCTGGGTGTGCGAGACCGCGAGCTTATTCGCATCGCATGGACCTTCATAAACGATTCAACTCTCACCATGCTATGTGTGTTATATCCAAGCAAAACCATCGCCGCTGCTGCCCTCTACTGCGCGGCTAAGCATTGCGAAAGAGAATTCCCCGATCACGGTGGGAGGCCATGGTGGGATGTGATTGGAGTTAAGATTAGGGATATCAAGAAAGCCTGCAATTACATGGCTATGATCTATGAGTACGCAGTACCTAAAACTGGCTGGTACAATCACGTTTATTTTGAAACGGACTTTGAATTACTCATGAAGACCTTTTTTATTAGGAACAATCCGCTCCGAACTGAAGTCAAATACGTTGCAACCCCCGAAAACGGCGATGACAATAACAGAACCCGGGCAAGAGCCGTAAGCGATGCCAGTCCCGAGAGTGGGTCTAGAAGTAGCAGGACTGAAAGTCGATCGGGCAGTGAAGGGGGGAAGAGGCCTAGGGACGACAGCAGCAGGACCGAAGAGGGTGAGGTTCCCGATGAGGCTGTTAGAAAGAAGCTCCGACTCAATGAAGACCTATCCGTGATGAACGGAACAGACAGCGGAGACGAGTCGAGGCGAAAAGTTAACGATGAAAAATCCGTACCCGCCCTTCCGAGAAACGAGTCCGGTGAACTAGAGGAGGGTGAACTTGATGATTAGCGATTGTTTGCATCTTGAGGTTGGTACTTTTTCTTATAGCGCGAGGATACGAATGCCTGAAAGGGGTGATTTGATGTGAAAGGGAAAAGCCATGTATTATTATGCTTTGTTTGGGCTCCCTGTTCTTTTGTCGATACCCTATGTCTCATTCGCCCTTATCTTCTGTCCTGCACTTGGCGAATTGGAGTTTTGACTTTCTTTTTCTGTCCCCCCGAAATAAGACTTTACCCAGAAACGTACTTATATTTATTTCAACCTTCTTGTAACTTACCTATCTTACGTTTGTGGTTCCTTCTGACCGCATCGATGTGGAGACCTGGCTAAAAAAAGTTTTCATGATTGAAAAAACTCATGTCATAGGATTGAGTGGGTTTAGATTGCGGTATCCACTTTTCTCTTTTACTTTTTTTTTACTTATTTTTTTCTTGTCGCGGGTAGAGTCCAGAGACAGATTTGCTGGAGGCTTTTAAAGTTTTAGGAAACTCGATTTTCTTCTTTACGAGATTGCCTGTGGGTGCGGGGTACGATAAGTTCCAAGCAGACAGAGTCTATAGTCTAGTGATATATATACGATAAACGAACCGAAGAACCTCTACATACATAAGATATACAATTCCCATCAACAGGCATCCAGTGAAACCATCATCCCGTTATGTATTGGCGCGGATTTCGCTCAGGGAAATTTAAGAAAATATTCAGATCACTTGGACATGTACTTGAATAATATCCCCATAAGGTTTACCTTAGCTGGTTCAGATACATTCGCCACATCTGGATATATGATACAATGCTCCTTACATATATATAATCATGAGTACATATATATTTTACCATTGTGATACAATTAATGAAGTAATCAATCAATCAAATATTTCACTATTGTGACACTTGAAAAAGATAATGAATTAAACAAAAAAAAGCGAAAAAGATAGTTAATCACTTCGAGTGAGAGTGGGTGAATATGCGCCAAGTTTTTATATGACTAAGTAACGTCCCAACAACACCCGAATCCCGATCAAACAGCGATCTTGTATCGAAACACCATTTCTCACCACCAAAATCTCTCCCCCGCCTTCAATTGAGACCCCACCTGCTCTCTGCCGTCATGTTGGTTCAGTCTATCAGAGCTTCGGTAAAGTTCTTCATACCCTCGGATACCCAGTTCAATGCCATATAAAAATCTAACAGCCACTCCAGCGCTCCTCACTCACCCGCTGTCTGGTCCGCCAGCCTACATTCACCCGTGCATTCATCGCGCCAACAGCTGTCCGCCAGGGTTAGTCATCCCCTGTGATTCACTATCTCAACTTATCAGAACTGACTGTGTCCTTCAGCCGATATTGTCCAAGAAATATATCTCCGTGAATTGAAAGCCTACAAGCCCCCCACTGCCAAGGCCTCAGACAGCGAAGGCCAGGTTAAGAAATGGGCTCTTCCCGCCGCCCCAAAAAGCCCCGAGGAGGCTGAGGCCTCTCTGGCGGAGCAGTTGAAGGCTTACGAGACCCAGGAAGTTGAGGTTGAGGGGCAGGCTGCCACCGGCGAGCCGGCCGAGGCTGCCGTTGAGGGTGACTGGTTTGAGGAGGAATTGACCTTTGCTGAACCTGAAGCCCACGGTCATTAGAGCTTGTGGCTTTTGATGGATGAAGCATAGAATTTTCAGAATGTACAGAGCCTAGTTCAAAATAATCTCACTCATTGGGAAAGATAAATGGAGTATCAAGAATATCGACTATTCCCGAATCTACTCGTAATTTTTCAATTAAACCCTTTACAATATTATCTTTTTATTATTCAGATTAATTACAGTTGATCATCTAACACGGTAGTTATGGATTCCCCGCTGATACTTGAATTAGCCAGTTAATCATCCTTCAATCTTTCTCCCCGAGGATTGATTTGATTTGTTTGGCCATGCCCAATTCCATATATGTTTTTCATGCGATGCTTCATCAAACCATTCTTTGTCAAAGTAAATTCCACGACATGACGTACCCAGATCTATTTCCTGAAGCACCCATCAACCTTAGGAGCTAATACAGGATACTAATACCAATAGCCGCCATCAGCTCATTAACGTTGAAGTATGCTCAGTTACCGAACCAGGTACCCAGGGTTATGAACATGGCTACCTGGTTTTTTCGGAACTCCCCCTTGGTGTAGAAAATTCCGGGCGTGGAGGTGGAGTGGCTATGGACCAGAATGAGCTCTTCAAGTCCGAGGCCCACTCGCGTAGCTAGGTGAAAACATTACCATGAGCAAAACAGGGTGCAAAATAAACTGGGTAGATAATGGATAGAAAAGGACATACTGGACCAAACGGATGGGTATTTCCCCAGTCAGCCCAGAATACGGCATACCATATAACCACTATTGCAACCATTATCGTTAGCGATTAGAATTCGGGATCACCAGCAAAAGGAGAGGCAAGGTCGAGGAAAAACAAAATATATAACATATGAATGGGGGAACTAACAGACGCTACTACCCAGTTGCATTGACTTCACAAACTTTTGCAGCTTTGGCCTTGCCCACTTCAGCTTCGCACGACGTCTATACCGTCGCTCCAGACTGAACTGGTGTTTAGGTGTCAGCAATGAGAAGTCTGGCGGCCATGGACGCTTCGGTTTATAGAGCTGTAACAGGATGCGCGAAGGAAGCATTATGCGTTCTATCACTCGTTCGTCGTCTAGGATTTGCTAGACAAATACAGATCATGAGTTTTGTTTTAGACGTGCGGTGTGGCACAATCGCTTTGTTGTCGCCTTCACGCCACATCGAAATCTAATCTTGTCCATCTTATCAAACACCGTACATACACAACTGAACGCGAATTCCAGTGACCTCAATCATACAGCAAACACTCACAAGCCCGCCTGTTTCCCGCCATCAGGAACTTCAGAGATCTCTTCAGCTGGGCTTCACTCTTGGGTGGCTACGATATACATAAAGCATGTCAAATTTACAGGCTGTTCCACAGCCGAGACGTGCTTCCGGGGGGGAGCTTGTCAGGCCAAGTACAGCAGCAGTAGACTCTACCGCAGATATACAAACATCTTCACTAATCCAACTTACCCCGCGAGTATCTGAATCTTCCGTACTACCACAGAAAGAGAAGGAAAAAGAAACGATAGACGAGGAGGAGAAGCGGTGCTGGATATGCTATACAAGCGACGCTGAGGAGGAAGCACCAAAAAGCGACTGGAAGTCCCCATGCAGGTGTACCCTCATAGCTCATGAGTCCTGCCTACTTGAGTGGATTGCAGACCTCCAGAGGTCAGAGAATAATAACTCTGGGGGGAAGATTGCTTGTCCGCAGTGTAAGACACAGATCCGACTGAAGCAGAAGAGGAGCATGGTATTGGAGGTTGTTGAGGGGGCGGGTAGGGCAGTAGGCAAAGCTGTACCGGTCTTGATACTTGCGGGTTTGCTTCTCCTGTCTGTAGACACACCGAAGTTTTTAGGGCACTTGTGCTGACTCCTACTTGCGGTTCTATTCAGGTGTGGGTTCGGTAGTATTTGTAGCTTGCACGGTCTATGGTACTTCCTTCCGGTTTGTCTTCGGAAGTCCAAGTGACTAATCCTTCTTCATAGGAGTCAACACAATATATGCTGTATGTGGACCTGAATACGCAAATCGTGTTCTGTTAGGGCCAGATTCGGAATTCTCTTGGACCTGGAGTATGTTGAATGTTCACTGTGGTGCAGATAAGTAGCTAATAGATATAGGGCTTGGCATTGGTCTTCCCCTCATTCCTTTCGTACTCGTGGCCTCACGGACACGAACATTTGAGTCCGCACTTCCGGTTCTTCCATTGATCTTCTTCTGCCACTCGGATCCACTCTATATCTCATTTCCACCATCACCCGCCATCACGCTAGCATTACTACCATATTTAAGGGTATCGTACAACAGCCTGTGGAATCGGTTCATAGGACCTTATGAGGATCGGTGGATTAAAGATGTAACGCCGGCGTACGCTCTGGAAAACTCGGAGCAAGAAAACAACCAAAGGCGAGCGGAGAACAATAACAATGCAAATGCGCAACGGGAGAGACGCCCCGAGAATGCTCCGAGGGAAGAGGCTGTAAACGGATGGGACGGTGAGGTACGCCTCGAGAACCACAACATAATTGTACAAGGAAGCAACATCACAAACATGATTCTGGGAGCTCTACTATGGCCCAGTGTGGCCAGGATGGTCGGAGAGAACATTCTGGGGAAATGGCCCAAGGCTTGGGGTGGAGATGTTGTAAGGAAATGCTTACCAGAAGGAGTCGTAAGAAACGTTGTTGGAGGCTTGATAGCGGTTGTTTTGAAGGTATGTTGCTTTTAGAGATTCTTTATACTTGGTTCTGCGAAATCTCCGCTTTGTTGTACGTGCTTCTTGAGAATGTATTGGGAATTATCAGCTATCGGGCCAGATTGATCAAATTGGTTAAATTGGCCAATCTAGCCAGTGCGGCAAGAGCCGAGACGGATGTTGGTTGTTATACTGCTTTTCTCACCTTCTTTACGTTATCTTATGTTTCTTCTTTGATGTTTGCTGCACCTCACACATGATGAAGTCCTGTTTTCTGACGTATTTGTTGATCCACCAATAGGACTTCATTTCTCTGTATTGCAAGTACAAGCGAGCCCAACAATTCCGCACCCGAAAAGTCATGAACTACAACGAGGTAAAGAAAGAGAAAGCTAAAGCGGCTGCCGCTGGACGGAGGTAGCTGTAATTATATCATTTTATTTTATCCTACTTTATTCATTGCTTTTATTCTTTTGTTTGATTAGATTCTCTCCTTCCCATTTTATCGACATTTGTTGTTGGCAAAACTTTCATTAATGGCTTTGGTTGGATTTTTATATTCCCATGATATACTGGCTGTATTGCCACAAATATCACCCGCATTCTTGGCAGAATGTTTTTGGTTGGTTAGGTTGCTTAGCTATTCCTTCATTCGCGGCGTTTGTCTTTCTTTTTCCTTCCCTCTCTATTGTCGGCTGTGGTTCATCGCTCCAAATCCAACTGGAACTGAAAATCATACTTCCGGGTCGAACTCCTTCTAAGCGCATGTACAAGGTTGTTCCTATAACTAGCACTAGAACGTGCGCCTATCGCCGCATGTTCCCTGGGCAGACCCGGAAAAAACTCTGTGGAAGGGTTCACTGGGCATGTTTCAAGGGGACCTCAATCCGGAAGCAGCCCATGAATCAATCATCCGCCTAGGCAAATCATCTCCCTGGTGGCAGGTAGGGCCCGTGTTTCTAGACTCTACTGCTAGGATCCCGTTTATTCCGAGATTGGTCGGGTTTGAGTCTCATGTGAAATATCTCGCTATCACACAAAAGTTTATTTCAACACCTCGGGAAAAGACAGATGGGCAGTGCCTCTCACGCTCCACATGTGTCGTTTCGCTGCCATTGCTACATAAAAACACATGTGGGAGGAATATATGGTCGAGTGATGGATTATGATTGTAAGACTCACGTATCCCAGGTACTAGTTACCTGTCCAATACAGTAAATAATACAAACGAAGTGTCCCATAACTTATCTAAGGTTTGTAACGTGCTGAACAGCGGTTGGATGAAACCGTTTGGTCCCAGTTTTCTTGTCTGCGCCTTGTCTAGCACTATCCAGAATCACATGTCCGAAACAACGCCACAATCTCATCATTCTAGTGGCAAAGAAAAATCCTCAGGGCTTAGGAAATCTATTCGTCTTGATCCCCTCCCCAATGTTAGTTCAGACCGATCCCAGCCTCTCAGTTGCCTCTCTGCTATTACCCTTTGTGTATATTCTTGTCTCAGCTTATGCTATCTCCTATAGCGATAGGTATACTAATGTAGGTATCTAGTACTGTGATCTACCGCACTTCCTTTCGTAGCAGGATACATGTAGCTAGACTCCCAGTGACCCAGGTACCTATCGCAATCAAGTGCTTCCCTTATCTTCCGAATCTGATGCATGTGGCTATAGAAGTGCGCATCCTGTACGTTCCTAAATTACCCAGCCATCTTCCAAACAAGTTTCGTGAGACATACACAGCTACTTGGCGGTAATGATAATTGATACAAATTTCTTCTGCATGCACATGTTAGAGAAAAAAAGGCATGTGTGTATGTGCGTAGATCGTCTATTGGGATGCATTCCTTCCGAAGCAGGCTAGGCCGTATCGGTTATTAGATATTATCCTCTGCCTATTATTCGCGACAGATAATCAGTTCCAGTGAGCGATTCCCATCACTACCAATCAATGGTGATCCCGCCGCTCCAGAACCAAGTGTTAAGTAGCTGCACTTACGCGTGATGGGCACTATCGATTTGCATGTCTGGTAGGAGGTATGCGGTTCCAGCCAATTCGATGATCTCCAAGATGACACCAAACGTGTAGATGGCTCGAAATAACCATAGTTCATCTAATTCCTCGGCCATGCTGAACTAATCTGACAGCGCACGGGCACGCTGCGGTAGCTTCCCTGAATTAGGGTATTGTATCTCATTTCCTGTAGGATTGGCTCGGTTCAGTTATATATGTATCTCCAAAGTACCTACTCTTCATTCTAAACCGATAGATCGACAATGAAGTAGAGGATACCACAGCTTATCTTTTGCTTTAGGTGACATGAGCTTAATGCCTAAACGAAGCCCAGACTTATCATACCCGACCTCGTACAGATATGGAGTGCTGTCCAAACTTCAAAGCTTAGCTAGCTGGTCAAACACGAGATTTTTTCACCCGAATCATTATGGTTCAAAACGGTTGACCTTAGATGTTCTAGAATCTCCTATAACCCTGTAAGGTACTCGAACCCCCTCTGATCATCTACGCCATTGACGGGTCGTCATGGCTGCGCAATCTGTTAGACAGTTACGGTTACGCATATAAATAGGGCTCTGCAAGGAGCCCCTGCAAAAACGTTTTCTCTTTCAGCCGATCACACACAAACACAAACGCCGCACACAACACCTTCAAGGGTGTCATTTCAGTTTGTCTCCCGGAATCTCCGTTAGGAAAAAAAGATCTGAATTCGAAATTTATCTTCACAAAGCGCGGCTGAAGAAAACATATTTGATGGTTCAAGCATTTAATTACTAGAAACAGATCCTTGAGCGGCTTTTAAACGTGCGTCAGTGTGAGCGCATACGGAGCATAATTGGTCCGCTCAAACTTCAAGTCGCACCGGCCATGCCCATCGAAAATCTCGAAAAAGGAAACTTGGCGAAACCAACTTTCAAAATTTGAGGCAGCGAGAGAAATGATTTCCGGTCATTGGCCCTTTAACCTTGGATGTTTACTGTTTCAACTAAACTCATGTAGATAACTAATATCGATCCAAAAAGGAAACCACACTACCGCGATTACAAAACGATCGCGATTTAAGTGTCCCATTACTATGTTGTTCGTTTCCTAGTACGTATGTCAAAAAGAAGATGGTACGATGAAAATAGGATTGCCCGGCGAACACCACACTCAATGTCAAGGTTGTTTTTTTCCGCCTCTTGTCTTTATGGGGAGGGGGTAGACATGTCGTTAGGCGCTTCATGTCCGGGACTTGTGGACATACCAAGATCCGGCCAGTGCACGTTGTTTTGAATCTACCTTAGCTACCCCTCATGTTGGGAACTTCCAATCCATAATTGGATCCATCAGTGAATAAATTGACAGTTTCTCGTGCCTGCGATCTGCAACGCCGTTCACGATCCTCGGGACCGATGGAGACATGTAGTGACCGAAAACCTCTTTCAACGTTCTTTTGAACGTAGCTGTGGGGTAAATACCATGAATATGTGTCTAGTTCGACCTATGTCTGCAGCTTTGATTGACGGCTTCCTCGCCTACACTCGGGTTTGCGTGGGATTGGATGCAGCCAAAGCATGGGTCAAGACAAAGCCAGGTCTGACGTCTTTTCTCCGACACGCGAACACGAGACAGACTGAAGAACCCTTACACTGGGTGCTTAAAGCCTATCATAGCAGATTTTTCTTCTGTTTAATTGAATACAAAGTCTTGATTTGTCGGTTTACCATAATGCTTCAAAAACGCACCCCACTCTACAACTGTGCATGGATCTCAATATGGCATACCAGAATCGAAATCGGGAAGTGTCTGTCAATGGTTGACTCACTAAGTAGGAACAATGAAAAGCTGGTGGAGAGGATATCAGTCGAGCCACGTAGGTATTTTTTTTTTCTCAATAGAAGGAGCTTTGTTGCTTGGGGGCATCTCGCTATGTTCAAAATAATTGTTGACAAGAGCAAATCAATGGGCCGCCAACCAAAAAGCATGCATCATTAGGGTGAAAGAAAGAGTTGAGCCGTTCCAGGCGGCATACGCTCCTTCGCAAGAACTGACCTAAAAGGGCATCCAACATCTCCATCTGGATGGCAGAAGGGGACGCCGAAGACAAGTAGAGCACTCGAAGTAGGTAGGTACATGGATAGAGAAGAGCACCTAGAGTAGCCACCTCACCCAGAAAAGAGGCAGCCCAGGCTTTGGGAGAGTCCCGGAGAGTTCGAACGAGGATCGTGAGATTTATTAGAAAAGGTTTTAAGGGATGGCGGGACATAGCAAAACATGTTTTGCTTCTTTTTGGTCTTGCTGTCCCACACACTCCCGACCAACTGGCTCACTAGCACCCATCACGGTATTTTTCTCGGGAGTGTAGCGGCTTCGGCTTATTTAGTGTCAACACAAGAGTCAGGCACAGCACTTCTAGTCTAACTGCTTATGTCTTTGACTTTGAAAGGGAACAGATGTTTAGTTAGAGTCCCTAACTACATGTATACGCTGCTTTATCATAGGTAACGGTATAAAATACATGTACAGCGACACCTCGATATAAGAAACGCCAAGGTGGCGACGGATTTTGTTTCTTATAGAAAAATTTCCGCCAATATTTCTTATAGCAATAGCAAGTAAGATTTTGGTGTAGAACTGTTAGCGTGTACCCTATGCGCTGTTTCTTACAAGGTTTTCTTATAGCGAGGTTTCTTATAGCGAGGTGTAGCTGTATGCAGATGTTGTCGCGGTCAAGTTATCAAGATATGTGTAGTTTAAATTGTGAGAGACCACATAATATACTTGTAACTTTGTGAGTAGAGTACATAAGTTTTGTTCCGATCTGAGCACTCTCCAGGCCCATTTCTTTTCTTTTCTTTCTTTCTTTTTTGTAGATACTGTACAGATACGGTATATGTGGAGAAGTACTCTACCTACATAGAGTAATGTACGGGGGTTCACCTTAAATACCGAGACGCCTTGGATTTTGTATGGGAACCGCCCATGGCAACCAAAAAGCAGCCAATGAATTTTGGTCTTGGCCCTGAAATTTGTATGGGGGAAAAAAGTATGAAGACACTTCATATATACTCACTCAAAAATCTAAATATTTTCCTAAAAATACAAACAAAATAACCAAATGATAGCCCTTGCTCTGGCCATCACCTTAATAGCAATCCTAAACTTTCAAACATGTTTTTCGTGGAGTTCGGAAAGAGCATCAGTGGAAAAGAGGGATGGAGGTTGCATTGCAAAAGCTGTAACACACAATTCAAATAACCTCTTGGCCGCCAAGTGTCCTTTTTTTTTGAATCGACCAATAGCAGACGCCCACTGGCCCTTACAGCCCAAAATGGGTTCTCAATACTTACCCTTAACCCCGGTACTATACTCTCTGGAGTAGAGTACCTATAATGTTCTTTCGCTTGCAGAATTTGTTAAAAGATTATATTTGGAATTCTAATTCGCTGTCAATTTCTGGGACACTGTCTATGGGTGAAGGGGATAGTCCGTGCCCGCTCAGACCCAGAACCAAAAATCTCTTAGGGAAAACGGAGCAGCCATCATAAGTGTTGGTGTGATGATTATTACCGGTTGTCAAGTTCACCATGCAACTGGCAACTGCAGTGCCAGAGTTTGCTGCGGGTGCCCGTAATATGCGTACATACTTGCTCAACTTCCACTAGTAAATAGTAGATACTTGTGTCTCTACCTAGAGATGTACTTTCGAAGTTCTTTTACACGGCTGCTTTCTTAATCTGATTTCTAATCTTCCAATTCTTCCATTTTTCTGCCTTTTTAGAAGCATTGCATCGGGAGCGGTTTTCTATTCATGGCCTATTGCTGTATGTCAGGTGAGTGTATGCGAAGCTACCCTACCTTGCCAGCCAGAAAGGGACTGTTTTGGGCAACCAAAATATAGAACCCTCATTATTACTTTCTCTTGATGCTGGTTCGTATGTACCTAGCGCCTCAAGCTGTTCATACACACAAACTGCGGCCGCTCACTCATTCATTCATAATCCTAGTCGTCATTGTTCGCTGGCAGGCTTGTCTGCGCCCTCTTCTGGTTTGCGCCCCCGCCTCAAAGACGACCTGGTGTTGGCCCCTTGATCACTTCTCATGTTTGTCATCTGGCTCAGGGCTAACAAGATTGTGTGCTAGTTAGAGACCCTCTTTATGTGTTGTCTGGTACAGTGGTGGTACATGGTACCCACCACACAACTATCCACACTTATCTCTATCGACTCGAGTTACATGGGCTTCTCATCCATGCGCGGCTGGAACCAATGCCCGTTAGTTATACCCCAAAAATATCTGGCCAAATCGCTCCGCCGATGCTACTGCAGCCGCGTCCTCCTCCCTTGTAGCCACTAGGAAAAGTACCTAGACTCATACTGTACCTACTCTTGAATACCTCAATAGTCCTTGTCCTCACATATGCACATAGCCAGCCAGACACATCCAGACCTTCAGTTATTCCGTCACCTACACTTTCCTCTTGGCTGGCTTGAGTAACCTGCCCTTACAAACATGCTCCCACGTACGATAGGTACACCTGCATTTGCACCTATCCACTATAGTACCCCCCTCACTGCTCACCCCCACCTCACCATACCTTACACGCCATGCAGGCGAGTGTGTGTGGGTGTGTGTGTGTGTAGAGAGAGTACTGGGAGCAGAAGGCTCAGCTTTGAGTTAGCCCCTCGTCATCAGAACGCCCTTGTTGTTGGCTCCTATAAACATTCACCCTAACCCCCCCGTCCCCGTCACCCGGCGAAGCCATCGTGATCGACCTGGGCAACATCATTTCGACATCACTCGTATTTTATATACTCCCTTGGTTCCTCGATTTCCATCAGGATTTCTCCAGGCTCAAAGGCTCAAACCTCGACCCAACCCTCCCTCCTTGTGGCATACAATAATAATTCCTGCACTTTACTCAATCGGCTTCGGCTTCAACATCTTCGACCGTATTAATAGTATATACCAGGCCAGTTTTGTCTTATCAGGGATTCGAGCCAAAAACTTTAACTCGACTTCTTTTTTTTTCGTTTTTCTATTTATTTTGGCATTCATTTAATTACCTTCAATTATCCAAAAGTTTAAATACTCTTGCCCATCTTTCAACATGAGCAATACATCGTCAAACTCGAGTTCGTCTTCTACCACCCGCCCGGAGGACCGAATAGGATCATTATTGGCCGGGCGCCTAGAACTCACTGGAATACTTGGACTCGGTGCCTATGGAGTGGTCTATACTGCCGTGGATATCTTTACCTGTACCCCGTTCGCTGTCAAGGCCTTGTCGAAAACTGGATTGGATGCACGACAAAAGCGATTTCAGCAACGCGAAATTGCGCTTCACCATAAAGCCAGTGCTCATCCCAACGTTGTCTCCTTGGTCAAGGTCCTAGACACTGTCGACTGCACCTATGTAATTATTGAGTATTGCCCTGAGGGTGATCTATTTACCAACATAACGGAACGCGGCCATTACGTCGGGAATGATGTTCTTGCCAGGCGTGTTTTCCTTCAACTTTTGGACGCCGTTGAGCATTGTCATTCCATGGGAATTTACCACCGGGATCTAAAGCCAGAAAATGTTCTTGTTACAAACGGTGGTCTTACCGTGAAACTTGCCGATTTTGGCCTTGCAACTACTGAAGCTGTCACCTCCGACTTTGGATGTGGCTCAACATTTTATATGTCTCCTGGTACGATTGATAGGGTACAATTCTCCGATTTCTTCGAGGTACTAACTTTGTGTGATAGAGTGTCAACAATCTTCTCCCCGGAGTTCTAGTTGTTATGAATCCGCCCCCAACGATATCTGGTCTCTCGGAGTTATTCTGGTAAACCTTACATGTGGCCGGAACCCTTGGAAACGTGCTTCCCCATCCGACAGTACATTCCGTGCATACTTGAAAGATCCCCGCATGCTTAGGACCATCCTACCGTTGTCTTCGGAGCTCGATAGCATTCTACGCCTCATTTTTGAGATCAACCCCCAGAAAAGGATTTCCATTCAAGATCTGAGATACCGGATTATGTCTTGTCGCAGATTTACCACTGGACCTGGACCATTGGATAGCCCACCTCTTTCAGAGGTTTCTAACAGCTCAGATCTTGTGGAGCCAGAGCTTTTCCAGCTCCCTGCCACACCTTATCAATCAAAAGCTGCCGGTCTCTTTACCCCAGATTCTACCCCCTCCACTACACCTCAAACCACACAAACCTCAAGGCCCACCCCCTTCATATTCTCTAAGCCCCTTGCAACACCACCCCCATCCGAATCTTCTTCGGTCAATTCTCAATTTTACAACGAGACTAACTCTCCATCCGGAGATGTTAGTCCCATTATCGTTCCCGTGTCCCCCACAGATTTCACTTCGCCTTCAAGTCAGAACAACTGGCACTCACATTTTCTCCATGCCTTGGACGATGTTGAGAAAGTACAGCAATCGATTATCCGGGCTCCACAGAGCGTTCCTGTCTTTTAGGCGATTCCTCGCTAGCCATTGGATGGGGGGTTTTGAACACGGAGTGGATACTCGTGAGTGAAGGGCGGGACCAGGGCTTCGATGCACCGCGATGGCGGGTAATGATAATACTACACGGACGCGATACGGTTTCATTGAAAATTTTGCCATCTTTATTTCATTTTTATTTTTTCATCTGCGGAGCGATATTGTTTCTATTGGCTTGTTCTGCTTCATGGATAGCGTTGGCTTCAGCAAGGAGTTTACTGGTCTTTTTATTTTATATATATTTCTCTGTTCTTATTTTACCTATACTGCTCTTCTAAGGCAAGTGGGAGATTTGATAAATCTTTCACGTGCGATAAAAGAGCTCTAGAGGCTTGTCTATTTTTTGGTATGATTGGTGTGGTCGCTCTCGCAGTGTTTACTTTTTTTGGGAGGGAAGGGTCGGTTCATGGCGTCTTGCATATAAAGCATGTACTTTCGATTGGTTTTTTGTTTTTGTTTTACAACCCCATACATTTTGTTTGTTGGAGCTTGGGGGACAGCGGTGACGGAGATTACATACGGAAGTGTTCCTTTTCTTCTCCGCACAATAGCGCAGGAATTATGATGAAGATTTGGTTACTTGGAGCAACAAATTTTCTTTTGTCATAACCAAAAAAGTATGCTCAGCATATTCATGTACGTATTTGGGGCTTGAGCTGAAAAGGCAGGGCAAGCAATTAGGAGAGGGTCAGCTCTCATCAGAAACACCTAAAAAATATAGAGGGGTGTTTGAACGAACGAACCAAAGTAATGTTATATTACACGAACATCATCGTAATCATCATTCATCTTTGGCGACCTGCACTGTGTTACTAGGCAGCTACGTGGCAGCAATCCATCACTGTCAGTCATTCACGAGGGAAGAGGAAGGGGTTTGCTGGGCTGCTTGCTTCTGCTGCTGGGGGTTTGCTGGTGGCAACCTTGTCTCGCTCCAGGAGTGGGATGTTTTCTTATTCGCCTTCCAACCGATCCAGGTGATTTGTAGAAGATGCCTACTCCTCTAACTACAGTACCTACTTAACCCTCCCTACTTACACTCCATGCATGCCCATATACATACGCATACGCATAAACATACATGAGATGGGCTATTTCGTGCTACGATAAACATTCCCGGAGTAGAGTAACTAACTGGAGAAAGGGGGTTATCATATCTATCAGCTTTCCAACTACCTATCCGGTTGTTTAATTCATTCGCCTCGTATATTGAGAATACAAAAAGGGACATGGTTAGCCTCGCAACCACAGGGCAGGGTACGATATGTATTTTGTGGAATCACGGTTAGGACATGCATATGCTTGTCGTGAGGCAGGCAGCGCGGTTACTTGGTAGAATAAGTGAAGGAGCGAGGGAAAGATGGAACATGGAAAGGAAGGCTGCTCATGCTGCTGCAATCACCTCTCTATTTGCCCCGGTATTTGTTGGACACCTATTAAACCTCCATTCTTTTAATGTCTTGTTTCCGGCAGTAGTAGGTAATGTTCAATTGTTTTGTTTTTTTCACCTTAGATTTGTTTATGACCAAACTATCCAGACCAACATAAACTACATATAATTAGATATAAACGAGTTACAACAATAAGTATGAGTGTTAATTATTACCCTAAACTCCCTGGCTTGTGAAGAAAGAAGCCCACACTCAGAATCGTTGCGCCGCCTGCTCCCCAAAGCACAATGACGAAGAGAGGAGAAGGCTAGATGATTTGCAGGTCCCGGACCTTGTGATTCTGGATAAATCCGAAAACATGTTCATGGAACAGCTCGGCGGGTTTTATTTAAACGACAATCGGGTGTGTCGTCAGCAGTGGAGTCGAGTTGCGACATATTGGCAAGGCGACCAATGAAGGTTTACATATTGCAGGCACCACGGTCTTTTTGCCGGTGGAACCTTGGATCCATGTACCGTGTGGTGTATCAAGACAAGACACCAGTAGGCCGGTGGTGGAGATGGAGATGGAGGAGGTGTGTGTCTGGAGAGCTTATGGTGGCTGGATTAGAGATATATTTGACCTTGAAACAACCACCGTACGAATAGTACCATACTGTCCTTGCCATAAAAGTATTTATATTATAGAGCCCAATCGATCAATACCATAGGCAGGACAGAGGCATTTGATCTTCAATTCAGGACTATCTAAAACTGGTCTGTTGTAGATGCAATCAGACCTCATGCCCTCGTGAGGCTTTGGCTTTACACGTCCGCCCATACTCTTGGTTGCAATCGTGATCATTACTGAACTGACTGCTGTGATAGTAAACCAGTTGAGTCATCATTACTCGTTTCCGGGAGTCATCATGACCATTACAGCTTAGAGTCGGACTGTGTGATTTGTTTACCATATGTACAGCCTCCATCTCTTTGAAGAGGGTGTAAATTACATAAATTACATGTGTATGAGTGTGTGTATCTTACACCTGCCTATAAAGTACCTGCAGTTAAAGGGAGACGGAGCTGTGGTCCATATGGAAGAAACTCAAGAAAAGAAAGCATGTATATACATGTATTGTAGTATGTATGCGGTAAACATCGTTTCGCGAATATCTTGGGAAGGCCGATCGAATCTAGGCGTGGCAGTTTATGCATGTGTGTAAAGCGTTCAGATACTCGAGCCTCAGGCAGAGTAGACAGATGAACAAGAGTATGAATCCAGCCCGACAAGTACTGGGTAGTGGCCTGCAGGAGGAAACCGGGGTAAGGGTTGATAGAATATCACCGCTGACAACCCCTTTTTCTGTCACTTTATTATACCAAAATAGGTGTTTATTTGCGATTTAAACGGCTTATGTACCTTGTCTCAAGTAAGGCACCAGAAATTTTGATGCATGCAAGATGTCCGCCCCTCAGTCCAAATGGAACATTCTGTTAAACATATATATATGTCGATGATTTATACGCTGGATGTGTGTACTCGCGGTAGCCAAAAAGTACCGGGCAATGCAGGTTTTTGGTTCACCAATAGGTACGCGTACTAGGCGTGAACTACTGCAAAAAAAGCCCAGAGACAAAACTTGCATTGTCCGGTACCTTTTGCCTGCCGCGAGTATATAGTGGAATTCCTATGTTGCTCAGAGCAGACTTCATGTGCATCTCCGGGTAAAACGGGTTCCAAACCCTCTAACCACATAGTATCTTCTAGAGTATGATGGTGAAGCATGTAGGTACAAGTACCTACCTACATATCTAATTTCAGAGAAACTTGTTGGCCAAGGAACTCGAGTTCAAAAACCAACCGCGCGATGTAGTGTCGGGCTCGCACTGTAATGCCGGCGACGGGGCATCTAAGGAAATTATGCTTGTGGCTTGTACAAAGTACTAGCATGTAATATACGTATGATAATGAAATATGCCGACTATTATCCATCATGTATCCGCATCCCGAACCGGGTTTCTGTGCGGGCCGACTAACAGCAAATTGCAGATCAAAAGAAAATCAACCGGGAAGGTGGTTAGAGGACATAACCACGGGTCCAGATACCCACCTTCTTCATGCGCAGAGCAGATAGATCTCGAACTGGGCTACTCAAGCCTCGTTGAACCGTATATGTAGTAAACACATTCGTCCGCAATTCCAATTTTGGACAGATGTACATTACATATGTATAGTACTTTACTCTAAGTATATGCGTATATGTATGTTTCCAAGAGATTTTGACAGCAACTACATGTGCCTCAGCACGCGAAGTGTTCCTGTTCTCCAATTAAACCCGCCCATGGGCCCACCATAACCACGAGAACAGCATGTCGACGAGAGCCGCAATTGCATCGGACTCCTGAAACCTCATCCTTCATCCAACTATGTTTTGAGGTGTTATCCTAGAGTAGATAGAGTAAGTGCAGCGCTGCCAGTGGCCCGGCATCCCCATTGCACAGCTGGTCCAGGACGTTATCTGGACAGTGCGTTGCGTCTATTGATGGCCCTCAATGCAACCCCAAATGGCCAACGTGGACAGCTACCTAATTAGCTCTAAAAGGCCATCATTTCAACTGCACAGCACAGATGCTGCACAGTGGCCGCGGTCAACACACGCAAGGACTTTCCCTAGAATCCCATAGAGTATGTCCGCTACTGCGGAGTGCACAAAATTTTTCTCACTGGCTCCTTGAGCCATGTTTTTCAGATGATAAAAAATGCACTGACTACCTACCCCGCCTAGCTTGCGCCTCAAGACAATCTGAAACAATGATTTGTGTTTAGAGCGAAAATTGCCTCCCGCGTCACGTGACTCTTATAGATCAATGCGTCTCCTCTTGTCCGGAGTCATGGAGTCTCACTCGGGCTGGTTGATGACTGAACCAAGCTCAATACTACATTACTACTCGTAGGTTTTTGGACTGAACTGGGTCTGCATACCACCAAAATATGGTTGTCAAGCACGATTTACACCCCAGTCCAGTCCGGAAACGCTAAAAAACTACGAGTATGTAGTGTAGGTGCTACATGGAGATCCGTCGGGTCGCACAGTCGAAAATCGCAGGAAATAAGCATACTCGAAAGACGGCTGGCGATCTCTGAATCCTCGATTTTCACTACACTTCACGATCGGTTTACAAGGCGTTGAGTAGCGGGGTACAGAAAAAGATCTTAACCCGCTTGTAAAAAGGAACGTTCGAAACGCAAAATGCTAGGTTAAAGAAAAAAAAACTGGAGAAAGCTCGATCCCCCCACGAAAAAGTAAGGGGAAATCGAGAAGAGATGAACAGAAGGTCTTTTTTCTTGTCGGATGCAGCCGGTAGGGCATACCGACGTTCCAGGAACGGGAACTCAGGTCCCCAGGACACATGAGAATCTTTCCAGACCTGGTTTACGAAACCGTAAATGTCGTATGTTGGCCGAGGCTTTTATTAAATAACAAAGCATAGTCGGTTTTTGAAGGCCGCGGGCAATGGCATATTTTTTTTCTGAGTTTGGCAATCTCTAGCCATTTTTGTAATCTAGCAACTGCCTTTTATTTCTGGCCGAGTGAAGAGTAT